GATAGAATCAGAAAGAGACTGTTGGAATTTCTTCGATGCATAATGAGGAAAAAAATGCCTGGAAATTCTGATACCCAAGACATTGTTTGTTTCAATCTAGAGGAATGATCGCTAAAAACTCCTCCTTCCCAACATTTATAGATAAATCGTACAGATGCTTACAGGAAGTTTTTAACCAAAAAAAAAATGGACCACTTCGTGGTCTCATCCGTCGCATTTTTTTTTCTTTTCCTGTCTTTAAGATATTACTTGACTGTATCCCTTTGTGTGTGAACGCCATTCTTTCTTTGTGAGTCTTTTGTCGTATTACTGCTGTTTTACTTAGTTTTGACTTGCATATACATTTTTTGCTTTTATCCTGTTCTTTGTCTTCCTCATTTTACTGTTCATTGAGAACTATCGTTTGGTGAGAATTTTGCCGATTACGCTTAGCAATGGCCTATTATTTTACGCATATTGAAAATAAAAAGAGAACATTTTCAGCTTACCCATGTAGTTATGAAAAAACAATTGATTCAACCAGAATGTTAGCAACATGAATTTTGTTGCCAATTTAAGATGAGGTGGCCGTAATTATAAAACAAATGTAAACCACGTTTATATCGCGTAATAATATTCTTTCTAGTAGCATATAACAGTCAGAAAATAACGTATATATATATATATATATATGTATTCTTGAAAGGAATTCGGATTACCAACACACAAACAGAGAATGTCTCATATCGAGAATATTTAACATTGAACATAAGGAAAAAATTAATTATTTTTTAATAATATGTGAAATCTCCGCTTTTACCTGAAGACAGTTTGCGAGACCAGAAACACGTGTCGTAAAATTATGTAAAACAAAGCATAATATTTTTTTCTAAATAAATCCACATTACAACCAAAAAGGTTTGCGGAAGCTCTCTTCTCTTCTTTTAATATATATATATATATATATATATATATATATATATATATATATATATATATATATATATTTGTGTGTGTGTGGCAACCTTTCTTTTAAACATCTTTCATTGAATATGGTCGAAAAGGAAGCATTCTAGCAATTTTCCATTTTGAAGAGTTAAGAAATATATGAAAATTTCCCATTATCTTATTGTCACAACTGTTTTCGAACAGTTCGATGGTCATTTTTAAGAGTGTTTTGTGTCTTTTGCTGTTATTTTTTCTTCGTGTTTTGACTTTTACGTTATAAATTATGTTTGTGTTTTGAAAAAGGAACGTTCACTCCTTACGCAAGTGGAATTCGCGTAAGTATCTTTCTATTTTTATTTTAAAAAAAAGCTTTCAAGACACCATTTCCATTACTAGATAATGTATGGTTGATGGTAGGAGAGAATTGTTTAATATATAGGTCCTCTCGAATAGCAAGATGTTTCTGATAATGTGATTTATGTGTTATCTATATTTCTTGTATTTTCGACCAGAATTTTCATTTAGATTTCTTGTAGATTATGGATTAATAAATGTTTATTTTATAGCACTATGGTTAGATACGAGACACGTAGAGATAGTGTGTCCGATATAGGCATTTCATTTGTAACAATAAGCATAGTATTGGGCATTGAAATTGATACACTATATTGGTCATCGCTACTTTAGGAAAATTTTGATTAGAGATCAGAAAGGTTTGCGGTCTTCCATTTCCTGTAAAAAAATTACAGCAGAAATATGGTGTTTAATAATTCTTCGAATAGCGAATTCGTCCTGCTTATAATCATTGTGCATCTGGTTCCAGTAAAATATGTTGATGTTTTATTGTGTGGTATTTGTATCACTGGTGTCGTGTATTTTTTGTAAGAATAATTTTATTTGTTCGTCAATGATTTTATTGGGAAAATTATTGTTGACAAATCTTTCTTTTATGAGTTTTAGTTCACTAAGAAATATTCTTTGGGAAGACGAATTTTTGTGTGCTGTATTTATGAAGTTTATTATCACTGTTATAAAAAGACAAGAGTTCGTACTGGTGTGTTTTTTTTTCTTTTTATACGGGTAAGTGATAAATTCTTTGGATCTTAGTTACATATCAACATCTATGAATGGTATTTTGTTATTATGCATCAGTTCATATTTAGATGTTAGCGTTGAGTTCTTTTTTCAAAAGTTGATTTTAGATTTATAATTACGTCCTTCCTTTTATCAAAACAAAAATGTCATCAACGTACATTATGTAGATTTATTATTTATCCGTCTATATTTCTGAGATGAGGTATTATAACAGCAAAATTGCAATATGAGCACTGGTAAAAATGGTTGCTGAAGACATAAGACAGAAATTCATACCTAGATGTCCTCAAGGACACATGGCACAGTGGATAAAGGCGTTGCTTAGATCCAGTGACAGACCTAAAGTGAGTTCAATACCCGGTTAAGGCAGTGGAGAACTTTCAGAGGGAAATTAATAGGAGATAACTGATAACTGACATCCATCAAACATGGCACGTGGAACTAGAACAGTCTACCCCAGTGAGCGAAATAAAGGGTTCGGTTCGACATTCCAACCACCTGAAGAAGGCCGGAGTGAAGAAGGCTGAAAAGTTGTGATAGATATGGCGAAAAAAATGAGGACAATAGTCCGAATAATGTAAATAATGTATTATTTCTCCGTTGTTTTAAACACTTTCATTTCATATAAAACATGTAAAAGTTAGAGAAAACAGGCTATAAATTGTTTCCCATACTGACAACATGAGTTTGGATGTAGGTGTTGGCATTATGATCATAAAATGGATCTTTCATTGGACAGGTGAAAAGTAGTCTCCGAAGAGTTGCTAGTCAGATTTTAGGAGGAACGATTGAAAATGTTTTTTTTTTGTTTTGTTTTTTGTTTATAGACGCAATCAATAATTATGTTGGTCCTTTCATCAACTGTGATGTTGGTAACAGGATTTTCAACATTAAGCGAAGCTAGGGTATTACCGATGGGATTTAATGATTTTAAGATATGTAGAAATGATATATATATATATATATATATATATAATGTGTGAAGAAATTTTGGAGATTTAGTGTAATCGTATATAGTAATTCATCAGGCCTAGAATAATCTTCAACAGAATTCTGTTGAAGATTATTCTAGTCTCGATGAATTACTACATATGGTTATTCTAAATCCGCCAAATTTCTTGACTTGTATATCCTTGCTTTACCCAGCTAATGCTTGTGAGGAGCGACTAAGGGGGAAAAGAAGACGTGGCTCTTGGGGGCACTGTTCCATGGGATTTTGTATACTTGGAGGAGTATCTCTACGGAATTGAGCGAGCAGCGACGCTATATCGAGTCTAATCAGTTTCTTCTACGTCTCCAAATCCCGCGATACAGGTAGTATGACGTTTGGCTTTTATTGAAACGCTCCGGGTTCGAGTCTCGGTAGTGGATACGCACTCCTGATGAGTCCGAAATAGGACGAAACGGCTGTCCAGTGCTTTCTGTATTCTGTTGAAAATTATTCTAGGCTCGGTGAATTACTATATATATGGAAAAACATCTCATGCCTTTTTATACTTATAATAAATGTATGTTTACAGAGAATTATGAAAATTGCTTTAATTACGAGTGGGTTTTCAGAGAGAAACGTTTTACGTTAACCGAATTCGTTTTTAGCTTTTCTAAAAGTTTGCAAATTTTTATTACCACGTGCTGTCGTTTAATTCAGGTAGAAGAGAAAAATCAAGAGGCGTAATAGGTTTTACCAGTCGCTTATGGTAAGGAAAATACAATAGAATTTTTTTGTTGACCACAAGGGACTACATGACTTATTTCATTCCCGACTTATACCAATAAACATTTCCCCGGGTAAGAGTAAAATTGTCAAAATCATGGAATACCAAAAAATTGTCCAATTTTTAGATTATGCTTTGAACAGCTGTATCTTAGAAATGATTAAAGATATCTTAATGGAATTCTCCGAGGCTTTTATAACACTCTTGGACTCTATTTTGAACAATAAGAATGTATTTAGCTCTAAGTTGAAATGATGATCCCTTTTGGTTCCGTGAGCTTCAGATCCAGTTTTCCTTTCTACTGTTCACTCTTTTTTAAACTTATTTACCGTTATCTTGATGGTTATTGAATGGACTTTAAAGATAAAGACCAGAATACAAATGTTGGTACCATTACTGAAAATTGAATGATCATTTTCCTCTACCATTGCTCATTATGAAGACATAGTTGGGCCGACACAAACCGAATTTAACCTGTTTTCTTTCTAGCTCAATAACTCAAAGGATTTTCCGTGATTCTTACGATAAATGTCGTCAAGATGACTATGCGTCTTATCTGAAAAACTGGAAAAAAAACTCAATTAGTTTAGTGTTTTTTTTTCAGATATTAAATATTTTGTAGGATGGAAATTATCCCATGCTTTTACACAATTTGGATAATTTTGATGTTATATATATATATATTATGTTATATATATATATATATATATATATATATATATATATATATATATATATATATATATATATATATATATATATTTTTTGGAAAATCCGAATAAGAATATTATAGAAACAAAAAAGTTTCTGGGGTTAGGAAAAAATTCGGCGTCTATTTTCTCGTAAATTATTTGGAATAAAATCTTTAGTTGATACCTATGATACTCTTTTTAAAATACTTAAAAAAAAATAATTGTTTACCTAAATGACCCACGGTTGATTTGTTGTTGGCAGACATCTTGTTGGTTGCCGGAAGTGAATAGGGCTAAGCATCGATAACGTTGGGATGGCGGAGAAATCATGTGGATAGCTTAAAGAAATACTAAATCCTTTTTTGTTTTACTTGACAGCTTTTAAATGCAATCAGTTCGAAATTGCACCTTTGATTACTTTGTCATTTATTCTGTCCTTGTAGATGCAATCATTAAAGTGAATGTGACTATTGTTTTATTTATTTAACGAAACGTATTGAATGAAGAGAGACCTATATGCAATAAAAATAACAGAAGAGAATTAAAAAGAAAATAGTTCTTGCGATGGTTAATGCTTAAAGACTTAGACACTGGGGGATGTAAGCAGTTCAGTTCATATAAATCAGTTCTGTTACAACTGCTGTGAAAAAAAAAACAATACAATAATTTGGAATATTAAATGGTAAGAAAACGTTTGCATACAGACTGAAAATGAATTAAGTACACAAAGAAAGAGGCATAAGGCAAGCAAGCCTTTTCTCACTGGATTTATGCGACATTTACAGCGAAGCAATCCAAATAGAACTAAATGGTCTACCAGGAGACACAATCTTAACAACGTACGATACTCAAATGACACTGCGTTAATGGTAGATACAGAAAAGAATTCCGAGATAAGGCAATAAAGAAAACCGAGAAAAAAGATTAATAATTGTAATGAAAAAGGATTTATGACGTTTAGCAAGAGAAACAGTGTTACGAATTTACTACGTCAAAAGTCAGAAATCTTTCTTAATCATTTCATCGCAAGAAAAGGTGATAAAGCGTTGTAGAATAGCTAGCGCCCTTATCAACACTCTACCAGATGGCCCGGCTCATAGCCTTAAATTGTCTACAATTAAGGACTTCAACAGTTGATTAAGTTGATACTAAGCTGATTAATATTCAGGCTGATGTTACTTCGTTTGGCTATATATTAGGTTGGTGCAAAAATAATTTCGTTTTCTCACATAGTAACATATGTTAGAAAACGAAATTATTTTTGCACCAACCTAATAGCATTTGACCCTCCTCTATTCCTTGTAAGTTGTCTTGTTAATTGTTTTGTAACTTATTATTCTGTGTTTATTGTATGTATCTGTTATCACCGGATACTGGTGATGAATAAATATATTAAGCACTCATACTTCCCTGTGTATCATTCACCTCGACTATACAACATAAAGCCACAAAGAAGCTTAGGGGTTACTAAGTGCGAAAGAAATTGAGAAAACGATATTAATGGTTTGTTTGGTTTGGTTTGGTTTGGTTTGGATTGTTTTATGGCATATCAACCTCAATGGGTTATTTAATGCCAATAGAATTTTTATTGCTGGTAATATTTTTTTATTTTCAAAAATGTATTGCTGGTAATATTGTTTTCCTTGTAAAATCTATTTCTAGCAATATTTTTCTTCAAAAATGTATAGTTAGTAATATTTTTTTTAAATATATTACTTGTAATAACATTTTCCTTCAAAAATTTATTGGTGGTAATAATTTTTTTTTCAAAGTATTTCTGGTATTAAAACCAATTTTTACACTTTCATAGTGTTTTGATCCCAGTTTGGTAGTTAACTATTTGCCCATAGCTGGGACCCTAAAAGGTGCTACCACCCTGATCAGGGTGGACGTGGGAACGCCAGCAATTAAGAGGTGGTCCCACGCTCCTCAAATCCTCCGGATCAGAGGCCTTGCTGTTTGACGTAGTTTATCGTCATACCCAGGACGCGGATATAGCTCATCGTCATACCAAGGACGCGGATGTAGTCTATCGTCATACCCAGGACGCGGATGTAGTTTATCGTTTTACCCAGGACGCGGATGTAGTTCATCGTCATACCCAGGACGCGGATGTAGTTCATCGTCATACCAAGGACGCGGATATAGTTTATCATCTTACCCAGGACGCGAATGTAGTTCATCGTCATACCCAGGACGCGCGGTATTGACGAGAGAGAAAAATAAAAAAATCAGTATTAAGAAGACATAAGATGTTGGTTGTATTTACGTTTCTGAATATCAAAGGTGATTGAAAAGCAAAAAGCCGGAAGAGAAGTTCCGTGAGACGTGAAAGAGAAAAAGCTGTTAGCAAAGAAATTATGCTTACAACTAGGTATTTCAACTGTAAAGACTTACCTGCCAAATTACCTCTAGCCAATCAAGCAGTTAAATGCCTTACGAAATACACGCTTGAATGTCATGTCTCTTTCGAGTCATGAATGACTAGACAGAAGATTTTCTCGGAATAGTTTGCCATTTCTTTCTGCCAAACTAGCATTGTACTTAAATTCGTAAAATCAAGGTACCACAGAGAAAATCTCATCACAATAATTACCATGAATATATTTATAGGAAAGACACAAGGAAAGCTATCTTACGGCAACAGGAAAGCAGTTGAAACCGAGATGCCAGATCAGAACTGATATCATTAAAGATTATTCTTTGGTGTTTGTTAAGAATTTGACAAACAAGATGTGACAGCAATATTCAATGCTTGGACGAATACTAGACCCATAAAGTTTTAAAATTGTCTGGTATGACACAGTGAACCAACTTTCCTAGTATCAAACCTATCAGTTTATTCAATATAATTGTTGCTCTTGATGTAAATGGAAAACGTTAGCCCGACAAGATGCAACGAATTACACTTCTGGAGTTTAATATATGCTATACTGATACATGGTAGAAAAATGTTCTCTAAAACGATTAAAATGTTACAGTTTCATTTTGGAAGCATTAAAATTCACAAGTCATTTCTTGCCCCAGTTAACAACAGATTGTAGGTCATTTTTCAGATCAGGCACCAAAATGAAAATCTCATCTTACCATGAAAATATTTATTGAAAAGGTGCCGATAAAATGAGCTTTGGTCGTGGGAAAGTGCCTGAAACTGAAATGCCAGATTCTGATTTAATATAGAGCAGAGGCACCAGACCAAAGATGTCAGCAATATTCAATGCATGGACGAATGGTAGACTTAATAAAGTAATGAAATTTCACTATCTGGGACGTGTTTTTAAAGACAGAATAACGCATTTATCTCACCGTCAGTTCTACTATTTAGAACAAAGTAAAAGAAAAAAAATCTTATTTAGGGACTGCCAGCAGTTTCTGCGTAGCATTCTCCTTAATCTCATCCATAGTCACATTTCGTACTCTAGAATAAATTTGTCCGTCTAAAGCAAGGATGTTTTTAATGGAATTATATATTTTCAGGAAGAAAGGGGAAATTAAAAACGCACGGGTCGTTTATAATCATTCAATGACGAGAAACGCTGAAGATCTTTGGTCGCTAAAAGTTTGAAATTAATTTTCTCTTCTTAGGATGTGTTTGTGGAAGTCGGCTTGCTGATTTCATTCTGTTTTCTTATGTTTTCTTATGTTTTTAATCTCTTTTACCATTAAGGATTGCACATTGTGATTAATCTACCAAGAAAGTTGAAATGTTGTAATAACCTAACACGAATTTACCGTAGATGATCTGGCGATCAAAGCACTTCCTTATACCCCCCTCTGCACAGTTTTCTTTTATGATTTCTTCTTTCATTTCTTTCAGTCTGGTGTGATTCTCTTCCATTTTCAACTTTTCTTTCTTTCTTTCTTTCTTTCTAATGAAATCATTCTTTTTCTTTACTCAGAGTTTTTATACTTTTGTCAATCTTTTCGTTTTTGTCGTTTTTCTATTGATCATTTCTTTCTATATTTCTTTCTTTTAGTTTTTTCTTTGACAATTTTCTTTTATGATTTTCTCTTATTTATGTTTTTTTCTGTCTGATTTTTTTCTTTCTTTCTTTCTTTCTTTCTTAATAATGATGTCATTTTTTTCTTTTTTTGATTTCTCGTCTTTTCTTCATTTTTCTTCATAGCCTTTTCTTTTTCCTAGAGTTTCTTTTTACACTTTTTGTTTGTTTGTTTATTTGTTTGCATCAGTTTCATCCGTTTATCTTTTTGTTACAATTTTCATTTATATCTTTTTCTTCATTCATTCATTCATTCATTCTTTCTTTCTTTCTTTCTTTTTCTTTTTCTTTCATTCATTCATTCATTCTTTCTTTCTTTTTTCATTCATTCATTCATTCTTTCTTTCTTTCGTTTTTCTTTCATTCATTCATTCATTCATTCATTCATTCTTTCTTTCTTTCTTTCTTTCTTTCATTCTTTCTTTCCCAATTGTTTTAGTTTTGTCAATTTTCACCCTTCCATTTTATGTATCTTCGTAAGTACTTTCTCTCTTTCTTTCTTTTTTCATTCTTTCTTTCTTTCTTTCTTTTTTCATTATTTCTTTCCTTCTTTCTTTTATTTCCAATTTTTTGGTTTTGTCAATGTTCACTTCTACATTTATTTATTTTTTTAATTTTTTCTTCTTCATTTTTTGGTTTCGTCAATTTTCACTATTTTATTTTATGATTTTGTAAATAACTTCTTCCTTTCTTTCTTTCATTCTTTCTTCCTTTCCTTCTATCTTTTCCAATTCTTTCTTCGTAAATACATTTTTCTGTCTTTCTTTATTTTCCAATTCTTTCTTCGTAAATACTTCCTTTTTCTTTCTTTCTTTCGTTTTTTTTTCTTTCATTTCCTTCCATTTTTCCTTTAACGCAATCAAATTATTTGTAATTTTTAGCCTTTAGTTTCTCTTTTCTCGCTTACCACCTTTTGTTTGTCATTCTCAAATTCGTTCAATCCATGTTTACTTTTCTTTTACTTTATCATATCTAATTTTCTATTTTGCGTTCATCGTCCTGGCCCCATAGAAGCAACTTCGTTTTCATATTTGCTTTCTTCTTCTTCTTCTTCTTCTTCTTCTTCTTCTTCTTCTTCTTCATCAGTATCATCCTTTGTTTCCTCCCCCCCACCAATCTCTACCCGGTATCTTATTCTGATCTTCCCCCTACTGACTACGCCTCCTTTCCCTCCCGAAGATTTCTTATCCTCTCCCTGA